CTACAACAACAACTACCACATCTACAACAACAACTACCACATCTACAACAACAACTACCACAACTACAACAACAACTACCACATCTACAACAACAACTACCACAACTACAACAACAACTACCACAACTACAACAACAACTACTACAACTACAACAACTACTACAACTACAACAACAACTACTACAACTACAACAACAACTACTACAACTACAACAACAACTACTACAGCTACAACAACAACTACTACAGCTACAACAACAACTACTACAGCTACAACAACAACTGCTACAACTACAACAACAACTACCACATCTACAACAACAACTACTACAACTACAACAACAACTACCACATCTACAACAACAACAATACAATGGAAATGACTGAGAAGAAATGAGGAGTAAAAGAGATCAAGGAAATTCTCCAGGAGCTGGGTTTCCACATACAATTATGTTTTATAATAATTATTGTGATGTGCTAAAACCACACTTGTATTATTTACAAAGATGTGCTAGCTAACAAAACAAAGGGACAATTATCTTAATTAGCATTTAGAATAAGCATTTCTACAAAACCAAAAGGATTATTTCATAGAGTAGTAGATTAGAAAACCAGCAAAAGCAGATAGTTAGCATTCCACATATTACTGCTCAGTTGACTTCTTACAAAATAGTGTTTGAATTGCTAACAGTAAAAATCATATACAGTTGTCAAAAATGGTCAAAACTGCTCTAATGATTTCTTCCTTTGAAATTTTGGTAAATAGATGGCAAAAGATGGCTATTTCTAATGGTGCTGTAGGTTGGTAAGTTTGGGAACTAGCTAACAACAGGGAATGACAGCAGTGCTGTTGAAGGAGTTATTGACATAGCTAACAGTTAGTCAGACAGTGTGGGACTGGTAGGCACGGGATACAACCGAGACGTTTCACTTTGGTTAACTGTGTTCACATTGCTAACAAATGCACTAGTTCTAAACTATAGAAATCCACAGCACCACAGCACAAATGTGATTTGCAGCTTATATTTCACAGAATGAAATGTGGGCATTTAAGTTGTAATGACACACACACAAACCAAGGACTTTAAATCAGCAGGTAAATCTGCTTCTTCAGGAGTCCTCTCCACTAACAAAGCAAAAAGCAAATGCCAGTACCCTGTCTCTTACACCTTAGTTTAGGAGAAAGTAAGGGATTACTCATGTTTGGCTCATACTCATGAATGCTTATTTCCTCATTTTATGTTTAAAAAACTGACTTTGAGGCTGGGAGGATGGTTCCCTGCTCAAGGGGATATATTAGTGCTCCTGTAGAGGACCTAAGTTCAACTCTCAGTACCCATGCTGTACAACGTACAACCACCTGTAACTCGAGCTCCAGGAGGATCTGATATCTCTGTTTCTTCTTGGCATGTTCACATACTCACATACATACACACAGTTAAAAGCTATAAATCACAAAAATATGTAAAATAATACAACTGGTATTTGAGAGGATGAGAAATCTATATAAAACCACTCAAATTTAATGTAGATACTAAAATCAACAGTTAAGCCTAAAGGCCCCTCATCAACTATGAGCTCAGCATTTTGCAATCTACATGCATGTATTCAGATTTGCTCACTGAAAAAAGCATACTTCATTGAAATTATCTAAAAGAAATTCTAAAGTTATAAGTGGCACACAAAGGAAGGAAGGAAATGACTGCTTACTTACAGAGTGCCCATTACTCTCTAGACTGTCCTAGCTATTCATTGATGTAAGACATGTTAATCCTCATCACCATTCTCAGGAGCCTGAAGCAAACCCAGTGAGAATGAGGTCTCCTAAGGTAATGGGCACTCAATGTGCTGTGCTGCTCAGATCACAGGCATTCAGTAAGAGCAGGCTGTGAGAAGCATGTTTAGAGACACTATCAGTCCATCTGCTTTATCACACACTTACTGAGTAGTTCTTCTCGATGGCAGAGAATACAACATCCACACATATGAACACCCCTGTTCGGCCTACACCAGCACTGCAGTGAACAAGGAGAGGTCCTGTAATGTGGCTCTTCCTCACATAACGAACATATTTTATGAAAAAATCTGCTGAGGCAGGAGTGCCATGGTCTGGCCATTTGGTGAACTGCAAGTGTTTTACAGAGTGACTCTTTCCTGTCTGTTAGAGAGACAGAGAGAGGTTTATTGATTTCTTATATTAGAGATCCCATTTCAATTTCTATTATAGTAACCATGACGATGTAGCTGCTGGACACAGTGCACACTGGTGTACAGAGCATTCAGAATACAGAAATCTAAGCTTGATGTTTATAAAAACTCTGAAAAATTAGCTTTTCTCCATTTTAAAAAGGAGAACACAATGAAAACAATAAAAACAAGAATGCAGTCAGGATGCAGGATCCAGTACTCGCTCCCACTAGGTAATACACGAGGAACTCCACATGGGTTCTCTACTGCAATCCTTACATCAGCCTAAGCTAAAAGTACTATTTTGTCTCCATTTTTAGAGATCAGAATTGGGAGGACTGGGAGGCATACATACACTAGGTCACAAGGTTCACATATTTAGAGCTTGGATTTGAATGTTTGCCTTCCAAATCCTACACTAACACTTTTCTTCTGTATCATGAGGCTGCAGATAAATTTCAAAGTACTTAAGAGTAAAAAATTGGCTGACACATTCAAAAGGATCTGCACCTCCTGTACAGGAGTCACTACTAATGCATGATCAGTGTGGTTTCAATCTTCTTGGTTTCACAAGTACCATGCCTAAATGCCTTATAAGTCTGGCAATTTTATTATAAAACAAAACAACCTTACCTGTAAGTGTTTTGCCCCAATTGCTACTTATAAAATTCATGTTCTTTTGCAGAAGTCGGGCATCTCATGTTCTAGCCAGTCCCCACTTTTGTCTACAACCATCCTTAAGCCCTCATTGTTCCTTGATAATGCACAAATTTCTGTTCTATGAGCACTTATTTATGTTTCTATAAACACATCCAAGTCAATGTCTTTTTCCATTGTCTGCTTCCTTTCTCATCTATGACCTTCACCACCAGATGTGATGTTAGCTCCAGTAATCCTTTTTCCAAACTCCAGATAACGCTATTTCCCATCTCAGCTCCCAAAGCATCCCATGTGAACCTTGACATTATCACTGATCACAGCAACTCAGGTACTGGAGAACACAGTTGTCTCCTTGCTCGCTGTGTGGCAGTAGAATCCAGCACAGCAGTAGGCACTCTTGACAAATTCAGTGCAGTCTGCCACAGTTGGCAGAAGCCACCAAAGTGCATCACAGGACCAGAAGCATCTGGTAGCCACTCCCTGCTCCATGGTTTCCTTTACATTTTCTTCCTCTCCAGTCACAGTCTGGCTAAGCAGAAGTAAAAATTTATAGCTTTGTTTCTAGATTACAAAGAGGTAAAAAGTTACTCTATTTTCTTCTAGAGCTGGCTGTCCTAGAACAGTAGACCAGATTGGCCTTGAAGTCACAGAGATCCACCTTCCTCTACCTTCTGAGTGCTGTGATTAAAGGTATGCACCACTACTAATAACAAAAGTTACATTTTAAATGTTTTTTTATTAACTCTTCTCTCACACAATACATCCCAACAGCAGCCTCCCTCTCTCCATTCTTCCTAGTCCCCCTCCCCATACCTCTCTTCTCTCGCAGATCCATGGCTCCCCCATTTCCCTTTAGAAAAGAGCAGGCTTCCCAGTGATAGCAAGCAAACATGGCATACCCTCAGTATATATTCCAACACACTAGCTTATATTGTAAAACATGCATCTACAAACAGCATTATAAGACTTACAGACTTCTTCACAATTTGAAATATTCGAATGACGAAATATTGAGTTATCTGAAAGTTCTCCAGAAAGACACGAAAGTGTTTGAATTCCATAGGTTCCTTCAGAGAAATGGGCCAGTAACTGTAACACTTGATAACTCCACCTTCTATCTCTCTGGTTATCATAGCAATAACATTACAATTATTTTCCAAAACCATTTGCCAAAAGTCTTCTATAGTATCTGGCAGTGGTCCTTGAGTGGCAATATAAAAATACTCTTCTTCATGATTTACTATTCTAATATAACTAGCGTTGATGTAGTTCTTGTTTTTTCCAAGAGGAACACGTGTTGAATCATCTATTATGGAAACAGAAACATGTGGTAAAAATAATGGATGAGTGGGCTATGCTACCCAGACTTTATGAAAGCATCTCACATAAGTAAGTCCACGAATTTCTTTACCACTCTCTCAAAAGAAAACGGCACAGGAGATTACTTTCAATAGGGCTAAGTCTAAATTCATCCCTCCATTGCAATGAGTCATTGGTCTGGTTAGAGGTCTCAGTCTTGTGGCTCTGTAAATATTGGATCCTCACTGGGACTCCCGGCTATCCTGCTGCCCTGTGTCAAGGAGATCCTGCAGATTTGCATCAGCAGGACTAGCCCTTCCATGTGCCCCTACAGTTCACAGATGATGTAGACTTTGAGGTGGGAGAGGAGTATACTATGGGACACATTATGGCACACTACAGCTTCCACGAGATGATTTTTATGCTTTGTTTTGTTTACTTGTGTGTGTGTGTGTGTGTGTTTTACTTTGGGGATACTGTAAGAGCAGAGGGTGGATATGAGGGGATGGGGAGATGAGCAGGACTGGGGTGCGTAATGTAAAACTCATAAAGAATCAATAAAATGTTAAAAAAATAAATAAATTCATCCCTTCAGAAAACCTATTTGCAAGACTTTAGAAATATACAGTTAGGAGTACTTTAAAAGCATCGTTTAAGAAATGAAAGAGTGCCATCAGCACTGTCCTATAGGACTTCTGTGAGATACAGCAGCATTAGACCAAAGGGCTATCGGTGTCCACTACTGTGCTAGTGAACACAGCACAGATGCACCCTCAGGAGCAAGAGCAAATGGTATTCTCCTGAAAATCCAGGAAATCTGTAAGTTTAGGAAAACAGAGAGCAGTTTTACAAAACAGGACAATGGTTTGGAGACAAATTCTAGTATTAATGGAAGTCTATCAATGCCCATATTCTAGCCGGGCGTCCACCTTTCTCAGCTTCCACTGAGTGTAGTGATGTGGCAATCAAAACAAGGTATATGACCAAAAAGATGTTACTGAAAGTACTGTCTCCAAACAGCATGGGGCTTGTCTAACACTGTCAGAAAGCATGAGAGAAAACTGGCATTTTGTCCCATGGCAATCTTCACCATTCAGGAGCCCTTGCTTTACTGCACATAGACATCTGCAGTCTGTTCCACCAATGCTCCAGCTACATTTTGCTTACTTGCCAAACAAGGTCTATGACTTCCAACATACGATACAGAATTCTCTTATAAAGAGAAATAGAAAAGTCTATTGCCAAATATAGAAAGACACCAAATATTTCAAAATAGGAGCAAGAGCAGTACCTGGTGCTACTGATGCGACATCTCACCATCCCAAATGCTACTTTACATAAACACTTTTAGTTTTAAAAAGAAAGATTGAATGTGTTGAATAATTTAGTAAAATCTAGCTTACAAATACAAACCAAAATTACTCAATTTAAATTCCTGTCCTGCTTGTCCCATTATATGCAGCCTTTCTGGGCTCCACAAATCCCCAAGTAATTACATGTTTGTTAAGGAAGACTCAAGTTTGCAGAAAGACATTGAGTTGGGATAACATTAATGAAGAGAACTGTTAAGACATCAAGGCCAACATCATGGCAGCAAACAACTACTTTCTGACTGGATTAAAGGTCCATTCCACAAAATGAAAGCCATACTGAACCCCATTATCAGAACAAAAACGTAAGGCTAGAGAGCTATAGATCCTAGGAGACTATTATGATGCTAGATGGACACAGTATTAAATCCACTCCTAATGACCTAACATCGTACCCTATATTAACATACCTCTTAGCCCTCAACAGAGGGCTGATATTTGCACCAGATAATTAATGATCAATGTAGAGACCTATGACTGGGAAAGACGCAGAGAACAAGAGATTGCAGAATGTTCATCCCTAAATTAAACCTATGCATGAACTTCCCCCACCAATGTCTTGGTTACCACTTGGGCTGTCCTGGAACTCACTCTATAGACCAGGCTGACCTCAAACTCAGAAATCTGCCTGCCTCTTCCTCCCAAGTGCTGGGATTAAAGGCGTGTGCCACCACTGCAGAAGAGGGTGCATGAAAATGTAAGAGCCAGAGAAGGCAGATGACAACAGGAGAGTGTTTTCTGGACACAGCAGGCAGCTGCATGTGTGAACTCACAAAGGCTGTGGCAGCACATACAAGACTCACAAAGTCCAACAAGAGCAGATCTCAGCACGAAGAGGAGAGTTGGGCACAAAGCTCTACTGCCAGCTGAGGTGCTACTGGCAACTGACAGCTGCTGGGAGAAGCTTTCTCTAAGTGTGCAGTGCCTGAGTAGTTCATGCCCTGGTACAACGCCCCACACCCCAGAGTGCCAGCTGAGACCAGAGTGTGCACCCCTGAATCCCTGAATCCTGACTACAGCAGGTACTATGTGTTCAGTCAACTAGAGAATATTGTCCCAGGAAGGTTCTGTCATCTACTTAGCACTATAATTTTCTTCGAAATGTCATTCAACCATTATATCAAGTAAGTCTCTCCAGGATAGTGGAGTCTATATGAACCTCACAGAAAAGGTCACTGCTACGAGCCATTTGCCACAAAGAGAGTTCCTTTGTGTGGAGCACCATGATGTAAGGTATTCTGTAGGTCTACAGACGGTAAATTCAGAAAAAGCACTGCACTTAGGGAAGGCAAATCCATAATTCAAATAAATTTCTCTTTTGTTAGAAAAAGAAATAACTGTTTCTTTCATGATAGCAGTGGTTCCACATAACCTCCCACCTCGGGGAATAAGGTTTCATATCAAGGACTCTGCAATATTCTTGAAGCCCAGATACTTGGCAATGACTGAGTTTAGCCTGGTTGTTTTCGGTGAGTGGTAAAAAGTCTGTGAAGCTGAATCCATACAGAGCCTCCAAGAGTGCCAAATAGGCTGGTTTTATTTTTTTCATGAGCTATTGAATAATGGCAGAGTAATCAGGGAAACTGACTGCTGTCCCCAGACAGTATCCTACCTGCATGGTGACTGTCCTCTGTTGAAGTCACTCTTCAGGAGCACTCAGGTGAGACATAGGATTTACATAGAGTTTGCTCATATGGAAAGCTCTATCGTTTTCCTAGACCACCTTTGTTATTACTTTTTCAACTAAGTTCCTTCCAAGGATTTGACCATCCATCCAGTTAAGGCACTGGCTATCACCTAAGCTTATCCACCAAACATTTCTCCAAGAAAAATGAACAACCAAGTACACCTAGAAAAGTTATTCCCAGTAGACATAATTCCCTTCACCATTACACTTCAGAAATGCCTCAAAAATGAGCTACAGTAGTGCAGCCATCCAGTGACTCAGGTAATCCACAGAAACAATTCAGAACCATGTTGAACCCTGTTTCCCCTGTCAATTGATCATAGGAAACTCCTCATAAGAACATAAATACACACTGAGGAGACAAACCAGTGTACAGAAATGGAGATCATGGATATTTGGACAATTTTTTGTCATGGAACTTCCTTGTGCCTTCAAGGTTGTGGTGGTTTGAATGAGAATGGGCCCCATCGGCTCATATAGTTGAATGTTTGTTCCCCAGTTAGTGGAACTGTTTGGGAAGGATTAGGAGGTCTGACATTATTGCAGGAGGTGTGTTACTGTGTGGGCTTTGAGATTTGAGATGCCACTTCCCAGCTAACTCTCTCACTGCCTCATGCTTTTGGATCAAATGTGAACTCTAAGCTCCTGCTCCAGTGTCACACTGGCCTGCCTGTTGCCATGATGTCCATGGACTCTAATCTGGAAACATGAGCTCCCAAATTAAATGCTTTCTTTTACAAGTTTTCTTGGTCATATGCTTTGTCACAGAAATAGAAAAGTAAGTAGTCAAGGGTCTACGCAAGAAGAACCTCACATCTATCATTTCTCTCTGATAAGCAAGTGCTGTTGTGACACTCAGCTTAATGGCTCGGTTGCTGATAGAGAAGTAATATCTACTTAGTTTTCTATTATGCAGTCTCTGTAAGGTGCAATAATAGGCTGAAAACCTGCTTCTCCAAAAGAAAGCAGTGCATTGCTCCAAAATCCCAAGGCTCTCCCCAGCACTGCAACAGGTTCTGAATAGCATCCCTCCTAACAACCATTACATTTGCTGAATCTGGGCAGCAGAGGAGTATTCAAATGTGCAGTGGTCCACATTTGCAGCAGAGCCTTTTCTTGGGAATCCTATCTAAAAGAGGAATATGTTGCCTCCAAGGGGCTACAGAGGCTCCCAAGGCATTGTGTCTCCTTTTTGGCTATAGAAGTCTAGTACAGCAATTTATTCTTCTCCATTAAAAGGGAGTATTTCAAAATGGCCTACACACTTGGACCCCTAGAGATTTCAGCCACAGAGGTTCCTTTTAGTTGGATCTTCCATTCTCTGGCATGAAGATGTGTTGTGAACAAATCCAGAGTGTTTGCTACTTTTTATGCACCAGAACAGCCTGTGAGAAACATGATAGAAGGAAAGATGGTTGAAATCCCTTTGAACTACATTATGACAGAACTCAAAAGCTGATCTATCCCTGCATTTAAACTATGAAGTGAATTCTGGGCTTTGCCGATTGAAAGCAAACTACTTCTAATGACATCCATACACCTCCTCAAAATGCCTTCTCAGATTGTTTGCTCATTTATTGTAGGGTTATTGTTCTTTGACTTACAGAAATTTTTACTATATTATAAATGCATATTCTTTGTCAAGTAGAAGTTTTGTATTTAAATTTCTTCTAGCCTGATACTTGCCATTTTGGTTTTAGAATGCTATACTTGGAAGAGCAATTTTTTAAAACATTTGATGAAGTCTAATTATTTTTCCCTTGGCAGTTTCAAAGTTTTGTATCCTACTGAGAACATTTTTACTAAATACAATGATGCTAAAATTTTTTCTTGGGTTTAACTCCAAAAAGTTGTAATTTTTCATATTTTTAATTAAAGACACCATTTTATGTGTATTTATTTATGCCTGTGTGTGTGCCACCTGTGAGGTTTGTGTGTGTGTGTGTGTGTGTGTGTGTGTGTCTGTGTGTACACATGTGTGTATGTGCACATGCACAGAAGATAAGAGATATCAGATTCCATGAAACGGGGATTTTAGGCAATTGTGAGCCATCTAATATGAGTCCTAGGAACTGAACTTGGGTACTATGGAAGAACAGCAGGAGTTCTTAACTACTGGACCATCTCTCTAGTCCCAAATATTATATTTAGTTCTATGATCGATTTTAAGTTCATTTTTATATAAATTAAAAGGTAAAGGTTAGAAAGGTTTTCATTGTTGTTGTTGTTTTTGTTGTTGTTGCTGTTGTTATATAAAGTTGACCAGGACATTTCTTGAAAAAATATCTTTTCCACATTTTTTGCCATCCTTAAATTCACATATTATCATCTTCCCTGGCTTCTCACATTGTTACAAAAAATACTCAGAAATTTAAGATACTACAATTATCCGTCCCGATTATGTCTTGACCCAAAGACAAATTTACAAAAAAGTACTCCCCTTGAAGCAGGAGACTTGATATATAATGTATTCTCACTCACTAAACAGCTATTAAAATGATTTTGAAGTCATAAAATGTTAAGTAAATGCAATATGCTGTGTTTCCATATGGGAATCTCTGTAATAAAGGCCTTCATTGCTTTGCATGATGGTACAAAGCCATAAATATGACTATGTAAGCTGGAGTTGCAAAAATATCTTAATAATCAATAAGAAAAAAATAGATTGTTTCAGGGCCCTTAAAATTTTTGTCAAGGCTTTAAAAACTTTCCTGTTGACTATAAATATACAGAAAAAAATGAAACCAAGACTCATATTGACCCTAAGACATTAAAAACACAAAATTTAAAACTTCATTTTCAGTTTAAACAGAATTTGCTTTTTTTTTTTTTTGCTCTATAACTTAGGGTGAGCCTCTTACTGTGCCTTGATTGTCATATTCCCTCATCCATTTGGATTTGCTTATATCATTTTCCCCTTTGTATTTCCTTTGTTCTGAAACTACCCTAATGTTCCTGTAATGTAAAGCCTCTAGCCAGAATATGTCTCCTAGGCTGCCTTCATCCTAACCACTCCAACCACTCAATGCTTTCATTTTGGTAAGTCATCCCTCAGCAAGTCCTTCTGGGTACAGCAGTAGAGGTCCAGGTTTGGTAATAATACCACATGTTCCAAGTCAGCTATTTATTCTATAAGAGCATTTGTGTTCAATTCTAAGTTTATCCATAGAAGAATATAAATGTATAGTATATTTATATGTATGTGTATATGTATGTGTATGTGTATATGTACATAATTTTGCTGCCACTGACTGCTGTGTTTGTGGGTCAACTCTCTTGGTTACCATTTGCAGGATGCCACACAGGCTTCTCATTGAGAGATGAAGGGACAGCACAGCTGCATGCTCTGCCGTTTGTTCATACAACACAAACAAATTTGGAAAGAAGTCAGGTGAAGCCCTGGTATGCTGTCCAACTTTTACTGACAGTCATTTGTACACCAAGGTGGCAGCTGTCATACTTGCTATGTTTGCACTATTCACAGCTAAGGCACAGTGATTACTGAAATAACTCATGTTACGATATTTCTAACAGTGTGTTGTATTATTAACAATATGTGCGCATGATGGGGTTTGCAAAGTGAAAACTAACTGAACCAAGGGCAAATAAATGATTTCTGGCTTTCTTGATGTGTCCTCAGAACTTACTCTGTATGTGTGATGAAGAAACCAGGCATGTTCATAGGCTGCTGCTCAGATTAGACTAGACTGTGTTATAGAGTAAGCAAATCTTAAAATAGAACTTGGTTGAATTACAGTTTAAGTAAAGCAAAAACTTGAGGAGAATTTTCCTTATTTTTAATTCTTTAAATGAACCATTTTGCATCTCTATAGTCCGTGTCCACAGGACAGACTGGAAGAGGATCATGTGCATGTGTTCTTCACTAACTCAGGTGTGCCTTTTACTTCTTATAATCCTGAGAGGATCATTTTTAAAACCTTGTTTACTTTCAGTCTCCTTGAAGAGTAATTAATTGCACACTGAAGGGATAAAAATCAACATATGAGACCTTTGACCTTTCAGGGAAGCACCAAATTGTTTGCACTGCTAAAATGTTGCATAGTGGCCCACTGACCAGATTTTCAGAAATACATACAGTGAGTTTCATACTGTTTCACAGAAGATGACAGAATGCAATGATTTAACCATCTTGAGAAGGTGCTCACTGCTTTATAACCAAAGTCATTTTAATCTGAATGAGCTAACAAAACATAACAGTATCTATTCTGTCTTGGCAGATATTGTCCCCCTTTTATTTGTACTACTCTCAAATTTATTTAGAGGAACAATGAAAAACACTAAAGCATAATCTGGTGAGTAGGAAGTGTACTCACTCCCAAGATACTAGAACACTTGGAAAATCACCAAGTCTAGCTTTGAGGAAACAACAAAGGTTAGGCTGATGAGCTATGGAAGATGGAGGGATGACCACAGCAGAAAAGGAAGGTAGTTCTTGCATCACTTCAAGGTTTAATAATATGGAGAGAAGAAGAGAAACCTAGAGTAGCTTTAGAGACAAACACACCAAGGAAGACGGCACCGTTGACAGTACCAGAAGGCCATGTAAGACAACACCCAGATGGATGTCCTGACTACGTTGTAAGAAAGTCACTTCAGTAGTTGTTTGAAAGGGACACAATGAAGAAAGAAGACAGACATCAGCTGAGAGGTGAGAGACACTCAGTCCAGGCTGACAGCAATGTCAACAGAGAAGTATAGGGGATTCGGGGGTTATAAAAGAGGTGGAAGGAAAAGAAGTTGCAAGCACTTTTTGCATATAACAAATGACTAAGCTTTCTGGCTTGAACAGTGGATGATTATATTAAGAGGTGATCCATTAAGAGAGTTTCCGTTAAGACTGCGTTATTGTATTTTGATTTCTGTTTTTTGGGGTAGTTGAGACTGACAAATGCTGTGAGCAAATACACTGAGGGAAAGAAAATTGGTCTACTTTTCACCAGTGTAGGGAAGCCATGAGTAGAGCCCTTTGGATATCATCAAAAAGCAGCTGCCTGTTGGGTAGCAGATTGGTAAGTTAGCTTTAATGTCTAGGGCAGAGGATTTAAAAAGCCCCATTGTGTTTTAATGTTTAAACAAATTGCCAGGGAAGGTAGCCAGGCTTAGGATACTAAATGAAAGATGTTTTAGATGGGTAATCAAGACTAAGGGGCTGTGTAAATAGTTCATTGACAGTTGTCAGAAGAGATATCACATTTCCCAGACTATGCCCAGGTAATCCAGTGCTAACTACTAGAGTTATTCATGGTGAAGTTCAAACTTTGTCATGCAAAAAGTAGGCTTTTCCCTTTTCCCTACTGTTAACAGGAAAATAATATAAAGTGCTCTCCGCTTACATGGAAGAATATCTCGGTATCTGTTCTTGTCTCTGTTCTGTAGCTCATTCCCAGAACTGAAGTCATCAGGCAGAGTCATTTGTTCTAACTCCTTCAAAAATTAAAAAAAAAAGCCATGTATTTACTATTTCAAAAGAATGAAAATCTCCCTTTGTTTTAGGCATTTATTATCCTCAAACTCCATATGGTATAACCTGCTATTAAATGTTATATAATAAACCAGAGAAACTAGAATCTCATCCTATAAGGACTGAATACAATATCCTATGTTAAGAGAATAAATTCATGAGTCACTTGAAAAAAAATGTTAAATTCTCAAGATAGTTTTCTCCCTGAATATTACTGTTTACCTGTTCATGAAAAATAAAATAAATACTTAGTTATGAGCTTCTAATCACACCATTATCATTTTATAAACACAACAACTATAACAGAAATATTTCAACAAGAAGCTGCAAGAAAGCTTACAATTTACTTCTTGAAAAATTATAGCTGGGTTACTGCCAAAAGAATTATCTTCCTTTCAAGAAATTCTTTAGCAAGTGTGAATTCACAGAGAATTTATCAAGCAGCTAGTTCTAGATACTGGAATACAAAATGAAACACTTTCCCATTCTTAAGCAGTTAATAAGGAATATTTAACCAAATATCATGTGACTTACAGAAACAACAGTATTAGTGTTAGTGTCTAATTGTGTCTGAAGATACATAAAGAAAACACCAAGAAAGTGAGCAACAGTTAACATGGGTCTTAGTCAGTCAGCAAAGTGACTATGTGAAACGTAATGCGTGTGGAAGGAGAAGCGAAGGGTGGTCAAGGGCGTCCTTCCAGCCACAGCATAGTAACAAGAGCACCAAGCATCTGCTCTAGCTCCAAGACAGGATAAAACTAGGAAACAATCTGTTTCCTCATCCATTGCTATCCACAATGAATTGGTGCCAGAACTCCTATGGAAATAAAAATCTATAAATGTTAGAGCATGTACATAAATGGGGGGGCAGTGTTTTCATATGACCTGTGCACTTCTCCCATACTAAAATGATCTTCCAATCACTTACACTCAATATAATCTAAATTCTACATACAAACTTCTGAAAGGCAGAATAGGAATCTGAACACTTCAACACAGATACAACATACTGTCAAATATGCTTAATCTACAGTTCACTGAGACCAGTAATGTGGAGCTCACAGACATAGAGGACCAATGACACAAAAGAGACTGGGAAGCATCAAGTCCTCCTTGCTTAATATATATGGATAAATTCTGAGACTCTGTGTATTTTGAATGTTCTTTGCTAATTTCTGTGTATCCAATATTTAATCACCAGTGCTTAAATAAGTGGGACGACTGCTGTCATGCTAAGAAGGTGCTTGCCTAGGTGTCAAGCTCCAGGGTACTACAGCCAGTTTCTTCTACTCCTTCTAAAAGTCAATTCTAAAACCAGTCCAGAAAAAAAAATCTTAAAGAAAAATCAAAAAAAAAATCACACAATGGTAATGAAGATTAGTCTTACTATATGACAAAGCTTACAAATATAGAACCAGTGCCTGAAGAATAAAATCAATTTTTAAAAATCTAAGATAAAATGCCATCATTTATCACCAAAAATTAAAAAAAAAATTAAGTAAAATTCAGGAGACTTAAGACAAATGCACAGATATACAATAGTGGTTTCTTCTAAAAGCCTTAAATCAAGTTAAATACTAACTAGATACTGAATGAAAACTTAAAATACTAAAAAACATTTTAATTGTGTCAGAAAATATAAAATAATAATAATTATATTCTTAGACTGAAATAGGTATTACTAAAAAGTGGATATAATGTAAAAATCCAAAAGTTCTTTGATCACTGAACTTCACTACTAAAAATTAGTTATTCCTTCATGGTAAATAGGTACATGTGCATGTGCTCACATGTGTGGCTAAATATACTATATATGTTGTGTATGTACATATGTATATATACACATATCACAAAAGGAATAATTTATTATATGAAAAATAATAAGCAAAAATATGAGTAAAAACTGAATGTTAATATGCAATGCTTAAGTCATGGAAAGATAATTTTGTATCTTATAATAAAGAAATGACATCATCAACAAAACTCATGATCAACAAATGTCAAAATTTGACTGCACAAAACACTCTCTTTCTAAAAAACTGTTCTTTAAAAAGACACATATAAAAAAAGCAAACAAAGAATGATTGCTGTTAAAAAAAAAAAAAAAGCAGAGAGTAGAACAAGCTAAATTTCCCAGAACTATTTCAAAAAATGAAGATATTTGACATGCGATTAACTCAAAAATGCAGCTGTATAAAGTAGTAATATGAGTGAAAATTGTATGTTATAGAGAAGTTTCTATAACAAAGTAGATTTGTGAGTAAAGAACAGGCCAACACTTCTTTAAGTCTATAATACCAAGCCAATAGCTCACAGGCCCCAGAGGGCAATGGGAGGGAGAGACAGGAGAATACCTTATACTTTATAGCCTTTTATGCTACTTAATTATTTTTACCATGTATATCTATTATTTTAAAGATATGGTATTTAAAAATACAAGCAATGTACTAAGTAAAGGAAAAAAACAGGAAGAAGAGGAACAGAAAGAAGAAGGAGAAGGAGAAGAAAAAGAAAGAAAATTTCTTGTTGTAGCAGAAAAAGGAAATTATAAACTTTTCTTTAGACCAACATATTTACCAAAAACTCACGGATGATATCAAGTTCTTCTTTTTTCTGGAGCATTTTCAAACAATCCCTCAGGGCAGATAATGAAGAACTGTTGAGTATTAATGGTCGAATCTGAGCCAACTGAGTTAGCTCCTTTTCAGAGAAAACTGTTTCAGTGTCTGAGAAACAGAAAAGTCCACATTTGTAAGTTCTATGTAGACAAAAGACACTTGTAGGGTATTTCATGTTTCTTCGACTTTTTTCCTCTTTAAATACAAAGATTTAAACTTTGACAGACGTTTACTATCATTTAAAAAAATGCTATGGACCATGGAGTTATAGAAATCCGTCATTTGTAGACAAGATCCATTCAGAGTTATTAGATATAAAGTAGACTGAAGCATACTTGGTCTTATACTATGAACATGTTGTGTGGATTGACAACCACATCAAGGCAAGAATGCTTAACATTGTGGATTTTAAAAAATAAAGCTTTTTTTCCTCCATGGAATCAAGTATTTAGAAGCCCTGGAGTCTACCTGAGAGGACATGGAGATTACAATACATGTCTCACTCTACAAGAATAGAGCAAACAACATGAAACACATCGAAAGACAGAGAAGGCCCAAGTATATAACTAATAAGACAGAATAAAGAATATATATACCCACACACAATAATAGAAGAGTATGTTCTTTATCAAAGAGCACATATGGACTCCATCATTTTACAATGACTTTTAGGTCACATGGTCAGTATGAGTTCCAAGTATTTGAAACTTTATCATCATCAGTGGGTCAAAAAATATAAGTCTAGACGTTTACAATAAAATATACTTTTAAAGTTTCATAATTTTAAGGTAAAATATTGAAGCTCCCAAAATCTTTTTTCAAAGAAAACAATGTGAACAGAAAACAAGTTACTAAAATAAGTTACTACTAATAAAAAGATATAAGATCAATTAAACAAAAGAAGAAGATGACCATTCCTAAGAACCTGAACATTTTTGGATGGCTCATGCTATACTGAAACATCTTGGGATATCTTTAGAAGCCTTTTTGAGTGGCAGAGGAAGGGCTATTGGGTGGATGGACAGCCAAAGAAATTGTTCTACAATTCTTTTTTTTTCCAAAGGTGAGGGGGTTTATTAAGGGCAGAGGGCAAAGGTAGGAAGAGAAACAGGAGAAGATGGTGGAGAAAGAGGAGAGAGAGAGAAGTGGAGGCTGGCCATGACCACATGGAGAGAGGGGGAAGGGAAGGGAGGAAGGAAGGGCGAGGAGAAGCTAGAGGCAAGAGAGTAAGAGAGTAAGAGAGCTGTTCTACAATTCTTTATAAACTTCTGTAACAACAGTATGAAGGGAGTATAAGCAGTCCGTTCATGAGAGGAGATAAAAGTCTCACGACACAGGAGGCTATTCATATCTTCTTTGAACCAAGATAAAAACAAACAAAAATATAAAAGCCTTAGAAATTCCAATTGTGTAATACATCATATCAAAGCCAAAAGCCATTTGATAATTTTGACAGACGAAGAAAAAAACATTTAGTAAAACTCAACATCCTTTCATGGTAAAACATTTAAATACCAATAAATTAAAATTATAAGGCATGTACCTTAACACAAAATTTATACATTATTACCCACAGCAAATATACTGAATAAAGAAAAGCTAAACATTTTTACTCAGAAAGCATGAGTTGAACTAATGTCCATTTTCATACTATTATTCAACAGAGGGTTTGAAATCCTATCCAGCGAAAAATGACAAAATGGAAGGAGGAAATGAGAGAGTACTCATCAGTAATGGCATGTTTTATATGTAAAAAAAGGACTAACTTTCCTCTCAAAACCAAACTTGTTAAAATTAATGAATTTACTAAATTTGTGGGATACAAAATCAACAAAGCCAATATAATTTTATAGAACAGTAGCAAACTTGTTGATCAAGAAATCAATAGACATGCCAATTCAAGTCAGCTAAAATAAGAATATCAAGTATATAGTGATATATTTAATAAAGGAAGTTGGATGATCTCTAAAATAAAAATTACAAAATCTTGATGAAGAAAAATGAACAAGTCCTTGAAAAGTGAGAAGTTCTCCTATATCCATGGATTGGTCAAGTCTATATTGCTAAACTATCCATGTCAAACCAAGCAATTAACAGAGGTAACGTAAGACCTACCAAACTGCCAATGGCTTTCTCTATATAAAAATAGGGGAAAATGTAGAATTCACAAAGAAGCAACTAAAGATGTCAATTAGCTATTCAATTTTGAATAAAACAAAACAGTAAAAAATTTGAAGACCTAATAAGATATTATGACATTGCAAGGATATAGTAATCAAAACAACACGACAGTGCCGCAAAAATGGGTACACACCAATGAAGCAGATCACAGAAGGAAATCCATAACATCTATAGACAAATAATTCTCAAGAATGCATTCCCTCTCCCCACTGTTAGGCATTTCATCTAAGGTCTCTCTCTTTGAGTCTTGAGGGTCTCTTACCTCCCAGGGCTCTGGTACTTTCTAGAGGTTCCCCCTCCTCCCACCTCGATCCTGAGGTTGCATATTTCCATTCATTCTGCTGGCCCTCAGGGCTTCTCTCTTATCTCCCCCACTGACCCCCACACTGATCACATTCCCCTTTTCCCTTCCCCCTGCCCTCTTCCACCCAGGTCCCTGTCTCCCTCTTTCCCCTGTGATTGCTCCTTTCTCGCTCCCAAGTGGGATTGACCCTCACTTGGACCCTTCTGCTTGTTAACCTTCTTTAGTTCTGTGGATTATATCCTAGATATTCTGTACTTTTTTGGCTAATATCCACTTATTAGTGGAGGGATGAGGTTGCCATCCTACAGTCAAAAACTCTGACCCAGAATTGTTCCTGTCTAAAAGAACAGCAGGAACAAAAATGGAGAAGAGACTGAGGGAAAGGCAGTCCAGTGACCGCAGAACTTGGGATCCATCTTAAGGGGAGGTTCCAAGGCCTGACACTATTACTGATGCTATGGTGTGCTTACAGAAAGGAGCCTAGCATGGCTATCCTCCGAGAGGCACAACAAGCAGCTGACTGAGACAGACACAGATACTTACACCCAACCATTAGACTGAAGCCAGGGACTCCTGTGGATGAATTAAGAAAAGGCTGGAAGAAGCTGAGGAGGAAGGTGACCACACAGGAAGACCAGCAGTCTCAACTAACTCAGACCACTGATATCTCTCAGACACTGAGTCACCAACCAGGCAGCACACATGAGCTGGTCTAAGGGCTCCCAACACATACACAGCAGAGGACTGCCTGGTCTGGCCTTAGTGGGAAAAGAGGAACCTAACCCCAGAGAGACTTAAGATTCCAGGGAGTGGGGATGCCTGGAGGGATTTGAGGGGAGGCAGCCTCTCTTGTAGACAGTGGGAGGAGGAATGGGATGAGGAACTGTGGGAAGGCAGACCAGGAGGGAGACAACAACTGTACTACAAAAAATATATATAAGTAATTTAAAAATTTTTCAAAAAAATATCAAGAAAAGTGCCAAAGTACACACTGGAAAATAATTGTTTCTCTAATATATTATGCTGGGAAAACTAAATATCCATATACACAAAAAAGGAATCTGGACCCTATCTTCCATTGCCTGCAAAAATCCAAATGGACCAAATGCTTAAGTGTCTGACCTTAAATTACAAAACAATTTGCTTCAAGAAAACATCGAAGTGTTTTAAGAAATTCAGAGACACACATGTTAAAAGTGAGATCCATATAGAAGAAGAAAAATGTAGCAATAAATTAATTTTTAAAAATTTATACCTGAATAATTTTTCATTATGTACTTGTATCACATTTGTATTATATATTCATCTGTTGATGGACACATCTATGCTGATTCTACTTACTTAATATTGAGAATAGCGCATCCATAAACATAAATAAATATTTCTTGTGTAGAGTCCTTAGGGTATATGCTAAGAAGTGGTCTAGCTAGGTCATATGGTAATAATATTTTTAGGTTTTGTGAAATTAGGGATTCCTAGAGTAGCTTCCCCAGTTAACGCTCCCACCAACAATGACTAAGGATTCCTCTTTCCATACCTTGCCAGCATTTCCTTTGTGATGATAGCCATTCTTACTGGAAAGAGATGGGTTGTTCTCAAATGGACTTGTGTTTCCTTGATGGCTAAGAATGCTGAGCACTGTGAAAATACTTACTGACATTTTTATTTCTTCTCTTGAGAAGTATCTGATCAGTTTACTGACCTGGTAGTTGTGTTTTAGGGAGTTGATTTTATTTATACATACATACATACATACATACATACATACATACATACATACATACATACACACATACACACATACATAGCTTGTCTGAAGTACAGCTGGCAACGATTTTGCCCCACTCTGTAGGTCATCACTTCATTCTGGATCCCTTTGTACACAGAAGGCTTTTAGTTCATTTAAGCACATTTGTGAAATCTTGAGACTATTTTCTGTGCTATTAGGGTTCTGTTCTCAAATTCCTATCTATTAGTATTCCTTATTAGTGGCTTCAGCTTTTCAAGTTTTAAGTTGAGATATTTAAAACAGTTTGATATTACTTTTGTTCGGGACAAGAGACAACAAACCTAATTTTATTCTTTGCAGGTAGATACCCAGTTTTGCATAGTACCCTTTTGGGGTCTTATTCAATTGTGGTCTTTTATGTCCTTTAGTATTTGTTTCATGAAATTGAGGACCCCATGATTTGGTGCATGAGTATTCACCATGGATATGTTTTCATATGATAGATAATTCTTCAAACTGAGCAATAGCATTAACAAAATTATCCTAGAATTATTTCTTGCCCAAAGTGGAGACTCTTAACAAAGGTGTTCACTCTTTTCCTTCTCGTTCAGTTTTGTTCACTAGCTAATGTAGTAAGTACAGAAAATCACATGAGAGGCAGATATAGAGGGGAAGGTATAAAAACCCGAGTCTACCTAGTGACTTCAGTATTTACATTAGAAAAGTTATAAATGTATACAATGTAGCACTAGAGAGACAGCTCGGCTGTTAAGAGCACTTACTGCTCTTGCAGAGGACCTGAGCTTTCTTCCTTCACATCAGGTGGCTCACAACTGCTACAACTCCAACTCTGATGCCCTCTTCTGAACTTTGGAGAAACTTATACTTGGTCAT